TGTAGTTGTAGCAGTTCTAGGGTTGATGGTAAGTGTAGTTGTAACAGTTCTAGGGTTGATGTTAAGTGTATTGTAGCAGTTCTAGGGTTGATGGTATGTGTAGTTGTAGCAGTTCTAGGGTTGATGGTATGCGTAGTTGTAGCAGATCTAGGGTTGATGGTAAGTGTAGTTGTAACAGTTCTAGGGTTGATGGTAAGTGTAGTTGTAACAGTTCTAGGGTTGATGTTAAGTGTATTGTAGCAGTTCTAGGGTTGATGGTAAGTGTAGTTGTAGCAGTTCTAGGGTTGATGGTATGCGTAGTTATAGCAGTTCTAGGGTTGATGGTATGCGTAGTTGTAGCAGTTCTAGGGTTGATGTTCTGACGATCATGTGAAAGAAGTTCACTTGATTATGTGTGACATTTGTGCGTGGTCACTAAATCCTTAGTCTAATACCTTAGTTCAGTGCAGTAGAGTTTGAACGAAATACACAAAATACTTGCATATAATAAAAGATAAAATCTACTGACGAGTCTATTTTAATTAATCTGCTGTGTTTTAAGTGAAAATCTTTATTATATTACAATAAAACTGTGGAGGATTGACGACATTTTCAGACTGTAAGATTGAAAACCTGAAAGACAGACCTTGAAATATTTGAATAACACTACCAGTTATTCAATAGAGTTAAGTGAAAAAACGTGCTGAAAACCTAATACCGGTTTCCGAAGTTCGGGGTAATACTGTTACTATCATTTTAAACTACTTTTTTTTGTTAGCTGCTTGACTGAAGACGAAAGAAACTTATATTTTATCTGACAGCATCGTTCTTTCATCTCTTTATCACTATTTCTATGCGATATTATAATGTGTATGCGTTATTTGAACTCGTAATGTAATATAATTCTTTCTCGATGTTGTGTTCCACAGAAGTGTAAAGGAGTATTTCGTACCATACGAATCAATATTGATGTACGTTATAACCTGAATCTCATATATCCAGGAAAGTATTATGGCACCGCAAGTTACTTATTGTTATTATATTTAGAGAAAGTCGGGACAAGTAGTAATTGAATTACAAATATAGATGCGTTTTGCCTTGGTGGTCATACCCGGTCTGATTAACTATCTTGTTACCGCGCTTACACCACCATCTGCAAGAAAGCTGTCTGCCCCTTTCACTATTATGTTATATGAAATCTTAGTAACAATCCACTAAGTGTCATTCACGAGAATGGAAAAGAAGACTTTGAGGTTAATTTCAAGTAGAACAACAGGCTGTTTGTTATCGTCAAGCTCATTTATCATATACATTCGACATAGTGTTTTGTCGAAACGTTGTACATTTGCTGTTATGTTAAACTTATATTAAAGTTTCTCTTCATTACCCATTCAAGCCGTCTCCAAGCATTATTAGTCTCAAAGTGGGTTTCTCGTCATCAAAATTATCGCTGTTTTTTTATCAATTGGGTTTTTGGTATGAACGCAGCTAAATACATCACATTAGTCTCATTGAATATAATTCAGGTTGAACCGTAGCTTGATTGTTTCTAAATGCAATTATATTGGTACAACTATTCGTATATTCTAAAGTGTTAGGATTAATACAGTTGATTAAAGTAGGTTTGTAGAAAAAGGAGAAGAAGGTGATTGTGTATCAAGCTAGGTTAATTTTATTCTCTGATTGTGTTGAATAGTATACCATTTTAAAGAAGCCTAACAGTTGTAAGCATTAAGATTTTAGAGTTGTGTAGAATTTTGATAATAATAAAAGGGTCGAGTACTTTATCTTATATGGTTTTGGAGCCTCACAACGTCGTTACAATCCACATCGCCACGTCCAGTCATACTCTATCTGATAACCGTATTCTTGACAATAGCTCTGCAGCACAGTTTCCATTGTAAAATGACTCGTCGTGAGTTTTTCATTTCCAAAACACACCACTCCTTCCTGGTTACTTTCCATAATTCATCTAGTGTGCGAGAACAATGAAATCCCTAGCGCTCATGTGAACAGTCAAATACTTATAACCATATTATTTATAGCCATGATATTGCAGGGTAATTGATACAACTTGGGAATGGTTTGAATGTTGTAACATACTATATATATATATGTTTTTTTTATATTGAAGATTACTGGTATTTTCGATATAATCTGGTTATTCGCGAATTTTATGTGATAGACGCGTGAATAAATTCGCATTAATCCCTCCGTACAATAAATTCATAATAATCTAACACGACAAGAAAACGTGAAAGACAAATACATTGTATGGTTTTAGAGATTAGTGGGAGACAAAGTTAACTGAACCTTATCATCAAAACTCTTTAAACACGTACCCTTCCTGTTCTGATAAATCAAGCTCGGCACACATGCTAGACAGGTCTCTTGTTGACACTATACAGCATAAGACTGTTGTATACCTAGCTGTTTCAGCGCAGTCAGTTTAATCCTATGATGTTATCGTGATCAAATCGTGCTTAGCCGTGGTTCGGAGGATTGAGAAATACGTTTAATGTTGATTACGCACGTACGAAAGTAGTGATTTGAAAATGAATACTGAATAATTCAGATCGAAAAATGCGGTAATGATTTGTTACGTTTCGGTGAATGCTTCATTAGTCTTAACCACCTCTGTTTCTGCATGATAACACATAAAAATTAAAAAGTCTTTTAATGCACGTGTTCTATAGTAGAGTATACAGAATATTATTTAGGCAATACTAATACAATTTTTTACTGGTAACTCACACTTGTAACAAATACTAAATAAGGGGTTTATATTATTATTGTTTGTTTGGCCTAACCCAGAGCCGTGTTTTAGTTTATAAGCACCTACAAATGTTACGAACTCATGCCTAGAATGCCTTCAGTCTATTTTGAATACTGAGAGTTGTAGACAATCAGTCACGATTGTTTACACAGAGATATCCAAAAATTCCCTTTGTGTGCTATGTTGCAGAACTATCAGAGTACCACATCAAGAGTAAGCACAATAACGTACTTGACAGTCTTTGTTAAGGTTTCACACCGGTAGTGCTAACTCATTCCTTGTAATAAGTGCAAGACGATTGTGTTTGAAAAAAAGATTTGATTGTTATAGGCCTAATAAAAATATTGCTTGTAAAACCAAGTCCTCTGAATTATACTGAATAACAACAGTAAATACAAACCTATTATTCTAATAAAATTATCGGTCTCTGAATTTAAGAAAAAATAAACCTAAAGACTCTGGTAAATCACTGTTAGATACATTCCTATTTTGAATCGCATTGATTTCAAGAGTCAAATACAGTAGCTAATCGATCTACTGGCAACATAACATTTATATTTACTTTCATGTAATATAATAAGGCTTGCAAAGAAGAAAGAAAGAAGTAAGTTAACAGAACATATTCAAGCAATAGTAACCTTGATTTTATGCTAATATGCCATTACTCCATGTTGTCACCAAAGTTTAATTTCACTTGCAATATTTTGGACTTTAAAAATTCAACTAACATTGTACGCTTTTACGTTTTCATAAACCAATTTCGATAAGCGTTTGCACAGAAATATATATTCTAGCTCTGAAAAGGGTGATTAATCATATTTTTTAGCGTTACTACCTTCCCAAACGTTGTATGTATACAAGCATGTTGTTGGAGGAATACAGTGTTTCAAATACACGAGAAGTTTAATAGAACTTAAATTAGCTCGATTTCCCCTTTTGAAACAACAATGACAGGATGACAGATTCTGTAGACATGATGATAATATAATTCAAAACAGAAGCCCTGGCTAGAACATTATATATAGTTGGGAGTATATAATTTTTGTTTTAGCTTATAGAAGCTTACCGTGCGAGAAACAATCGACAACGGATGTTAAATCAAGTCTAATCAATGTGTCACATAAGTTGGCAGCAAGAGGAAAATCACTCTGCTAGCTTGACAAAGTGTTCTTGACAGAACCAATTTCGGTGGTAGCCTTATATTACCGCTAGTATCAAGCCGAAGCATCTCCCCGCCTTTAGGCTGCAAAACCTGTTCATTTCCAGCATACCAAGAGGAACTGGAAGTAATATGAAAAGATATTGACTTCGTGCAGTGTACTCCAAGGCCTTACGGAAATTTATGGTCAGTCTGGCTAAGTTGTTGGAAATCATTGCCTTGCTGCGGCAAGTACATCAACTCTTCTCATTTTCGTCCTCTCTTGACCTTCTCTGTCCGTTGTTTTGATTGCGTCCCTAAAGGCATTTTATGAAGTGAGAGACGGGAATCAAATATTTCATTTATACTTCCCGGAAGTGCACTTTGGAGTACGAAATATCACCATTTTTTGTGTACACGTAATGGATGGTTGTGTATGCAGAGTATGTTGAAAACTTGTTTTCTGACGAGACATTTTAGTAAATCATGCATGTAATGTTTGAGAATCTATATCTGTCTCCAGAAGCCCCCTGAAAAAAAAAACTTAAGAATTTCTTATCAGTTGCCCAAGAAAGCTGAAGTTGTTTGTCAGAATTTTCGAGAAATATATTCACAGTAATTTCAACGGAGAATTATTTTAGACAGCGACTGTATCGGGTTGTAGTAATTTGGTATAAAAGTTTTCAGCTTTAGTTAATAATTGCAGCATTACAAAATTTTGGATCATCTTTTCCATTATGTAAGTTTACCCACATCTTGATCAACGAACAGTTATACTGCGTCTTTAGCTTGAAAATGTTGGCGGTGGGTGGTGTTGACTAGATACCTTCCCTTTAATCTTGTCTAACATTTCAAAATTAAGGTTTGTGTGTTTGTAATTAAGCACAAAGCTACACAATAGGCTATCTGTGTTCTGCCCACCACGTGCATCGAAACCCGGTTTCTAGCGCTGTAAGTCCGTAGACATACTGCTGTGCCACTGGAGGCGTAACCACTTACTAACTGCTTTTTAGCTCATTATTAGTTAAATGTGTAATCTTATGTTCTAGTACCCGAATAAATGATTATTTTGGTACTTAAATATATTTTGATTTTTACTTTATCCAGAAATACTTGGACTTTCTTGAAATGGATATGAAACAGGAGATATCACAGCGTCTGCCTGTCGACACAGGGACGGCACCAGAGTGCGCTGGTTGTCAGAAGATTATCCGAGAAAGATATCTGCTAAAAGCGTTGGATCAGTTCTGGCATGAGGATTGTCTTAAGTGCACCTGCTGTGACTGTAGACTTGGAGAGGTGGGCTCCACCCTCTTCACCAAGGCCAATCTCATCCTCTGTAAGAGAGACTATCTCAGGTGAGTGCCTAGAGAGGTTTAAAAACTTCAAAAGATGAACAGGTTTTTCTAAAGTTGATAAACATCATATTAAAATTAAGTTCAGTAAATATTTTTTAAATCACCAACCTTCTGATGAAGGTAAATCCAATATTTTAGGTGTTTTAGAGCATAATCACATTGATCTAACTTCTGTGTCCACCGCGGGGAATCGAAGCCTGTATTTTAGAGTTGTGAGTCCGTAAACTTGCCGCTATCCTACCGGCAGATCCAATATTTTAGGTGTTTTAGAGCATAATCACATTGATCTAACTTCTGTGTCCACCGCGGGGAATCGAAGC